GTCTGATGTTTGTTTGTGTCTGATTGTTTGTTGTTGTCGTGCAGCCAAGGTGCCGTTCCCTCTGACTCTGAGGTTCAAGCCGATGTTACAGCGAGGGATTGACCTGCTGTCACTGGACGCCTCCTGGTACGAACAGTGAACACACCACAGCAGTCCAGCAGACAGTGAACACACCACAGCAGTCTACCATTAAATTAAAGGGTCATTTGGAAAATTAAGCTTTGGAAAAGAAGGTTTCAAAATAAAAGCTGCAATTAAATGAAAACGACCTGAAATAAGTTTTAATAATAAGTTTCAATCATTGGATTATTTCACACGTTCATGCTCATATATTTGCTCTGTATTTGTTTGATGATGTCTGTCTGTGTAACGTTGGACACTCTGGCTCTCCACAATGTGCAGGGTGAGTTCGGCGTCCTGGTACTTCCTGAATGTGTTTGGACTGAGGAGCATGTACAGCCTGATACTGGGACAGGACAACGGTGAGTCCGTCCCACTGACACTGACGCTGTTTGACTGTATGACAGTAGGAAACACAATTACTTTGCATTGGAGGTGATGTTTTACACATGAACTGTAGGAACAACGTCTGTATGTAGGATCCATCGAATGTTTTATTTCCACAGTTTGTAGGTAAGAACGTTTCTTAGTGACCCCCCCAACCACTCCTAAACTGATTCCCACACACTCTGTGTCGAGTTCTCGCCATAAAACCGATTTTAGAAACAGACTTTAGGTCGTGAGTGAGGTTGAACTGTTGGAGGAGTTCCACATTTGTTAGACATTTAATTCACCAATATCACAGCTTTGGAAAATGATTAGTGAACATTAATAATACAACTCTGGGAACTTGTGAACTCCGTGTGTGTAGTTTGAAGGGCCTGACACGACGCCAGCGTACTAGTGTGTCAAAGCCACTAGGATATGTTGGGGGTATATTTGCCAACTCTCTCAGGGATTCATACAACAGCTGCTTAATGTAAAAATATGTCAGAGTATTAGAATGATCCGATGAAGTAGAAAAAGGTTTGTTAAACAGACGGAAAACCCACAGAGGAGAGAACACACCTCAGACACTCAGTGACGGCCCCCCGCTGTGTCGGGGTCTTTACGTCATTAAAGACGGCCGGTTCATTTCACTGATTGAAACTGGTCTCCACTCACAGCCGCTGACCAGTCCCGGGTCATGCAGGACCAGATGACGGGGGCTGCCATGGCGATGCCCCCTGACCCCAACAAGGCTTTTAAGGTGAGAAGTTAAAATCTGAAAATCTACAACACAGGAAGTGTTCAGATACACCGACTCCTATTAACTGTTGGGACTCTCTCTTCCTGTCTGTCTGTCTGTCTGTCTGTCTGTTTGTTTGTTTGTTTGTTTGTTTCAGAGCGAGTGGGAGGCTCTGGAGATCGTGGAACACAAGTGGGCGTTGGAGAACGTGGAGGAGGAGCTGATGTCCAGAGACCTTAACTTTGGAACCTTCTTCAGCCAGGACCTCAAGTCCACCATGTTCTAGGACTACGAGGACCCGCGAGCTCTGGACCGCCTATGAACGGTTGTAGAACTCGGTCTGTACGGTCGAACCCGAGGAATCGAGAACACGAGACCTGCAGGTTCTGCTGTGGTTCTAACGGTTCTGGAACAGTTCACAAAAATTCACTTTCTAAGTGTGTAAAAGTTGCACACAACTTAGTGCCTTCAGAAATAAACAAAACATGTTAAATATAATATATAAATATAATATAACGAAGACGGTACTTTTAGCTAGAATCCATTAATGCAACACTCCAGCTCTGCTCCTGAGACGTCAGACCTACTTTAACACAACTAAATCAGTCACTAGATCTTTAAGTCCACTAACTGACTTCTTCCAGAGCTTTCCAACAACTCTGGTTTCACAAATGGCGTTGGTGTATTTGGCCCGGCCTAGGTCCCGCCCCTTTTTGCTCTGTGCTCCAATAACAGTTAAGCAAGCTATATTTAACGGTCTTTAATGTGGTTCCTTTTTCAATATAGATGAGGCTAGCAAAGGAAAGGAGGAAATGGGCCGACGCTTGCTCAACTGTGATTGGAGCACAGAGGAAAAAGGGGCGGGACTTAAGAAGGGACAGTTATTACAGATATTTGTGTATTCACTGTTCCAGAACACGAATCCTCAGAATCCTCTTCGAGTTCTAGAAAAGTTCCCAAACGATCCAGAACCGCGGGTTGTTTCAGCGAACCAGCAGATTCTGCACCAGACGAATCCTCTCAGGGAGGCGTTTCTCTCGGGCGCGATGCAGAAACCAGAGGCGGTGTTGGAAGACGGCGGGGACGTTTCTGGATGGCGAGGCGGTCAGAGGAGCTTTTTAAATGACAGCAGGCGTTGATGTTTTCTTCCTGCGGGACACTTTGCATGTACTTTTCTACACCGCGGCCATCCAGCCGAGGCTGCTGTCACACAGTGAGTGCAACAGTTCAATAAAGGTGCCATCACCACTGATTGGATCTGTCTCGTCTGTACCGCACTGCACACCCGGGTCCACGTCCCTTCAGGGTTCAACCTTCAGGTCACAAATCTACCTGACCCAATGCAAACTCATTTATTAGCGGTTAACAAATAAGACTGAAGTTAATTAGCATGTTTAACGTGTCGTACAGACACTTTCTTTACCTGCCGCCGTTTCCTCCTCACTGCCTGGTCGGTACTGAGTGTGTGCGATGGCTCTTTATCTACGTCTATCATCAGCTGCGATCAGGTCAGAAACAAACGTATTGACAGAGCCGCCTGCTTTTCCGGTGTGTTCACTTTCAGTTTGACCTCCAGGTAAATGCTGCAGATAATGTGGATCGACTGTTTGTTTCCGACCTGTCCGATCCTGTTTGTGGACTTCCTTTTAGTTTAGTCTCAGCTAGAACCTGTACAGTGTTACTACAGGGTGTCTGTGGGGGCTTAAAAACACTTCAATCTGATTTTGACAGGTCTTAATTGCATTATTGATTGATTGGAAGTTAATGTTGCTGTATTATTTTGCATCTTTTCGGTTTCACTTTTAAATGTGTTTCTGGGAAAACTTGATTTCCAAACAGGTCGATACACCTTCGAACCAACTTTTTGAAATTCAAGTGATAAAGTGAAGCCCCCCCCCCCCAGAAAGATAAGTTGGTAGATGACTTTAACACCAAGGAAAGAGATTCCTTTTTTCCCGTCGCAGTGTTTTCAGTCTGGACACCCACTGAAGTGTTCAGCCCCGAGACAGCGAACACAACCTCGTGCAGAATCAGTGGACTAACGTGTTAGAAGATCTTCAGGTGGCAGTCAGTGTGTTATATTGATTGAAGCTGAATCTGTGTGACAGAAAAATCTCCCAGCAAGCAAAGTGTCTCAGTGTGGTAATAATCATCCTTTTATTCATATCAAAAGATTGAAAGTACAATAAAATATTTTCATCTGATATTTGACAGGGAAGACCAAAGAAAGAAATCACCCCAAGCTTCCCTCCTGCTCCACCCAGGAATGATAATAATAATAATACATTTCTTACAATACAAAAATACTGTACACAGAGCCGGTTTAAAAATGAGTCAGAGCTCCGACCGCAGAGAGAAAACTCCGCCTGCGTCCGTCTCTCCGCACAGACCGGAAAACGTTGTACGGCTTCGGCTTACCTCATTCTGTCAAATAATTTTATGCCTTTTAATCTATAAATATGAAAAATAAGCATCTCAATGTCCTGCACCAGTCGATCAAAATCATTCAAAGGAAAACAAACACCTGTAGTCTCGTGACAACTCAAATTATTCCATTACAAAAATAAATACCAGCAAAAAAACCAAAAAAACAACCAAAATATACAAAGATTAATTTCTCATCCCTGGCAGCTTTGTTCAGTATTAAATTATCTGGTTCTCTGCTACAAACACACTCCTGATTACCCATAATCCCCTTCACGCTGCTCCTGGGTCCACTGAATTGAAAAAGAGTGCAATAAAACAAATATTCATGTTGTCTGCAGACACTTGGAGCTAATGAATCCACTAAAGCAAGTGCTTTAAGCTTTAATTATTGTTTCGAAAGCTGGATTTTTAATTGAGTAAAACGAAACAAACTGGTGTTCTTTAAGTTTTGGGGTCGTTTCCAGATGAACGTTGGAGCCAAACATCTGCAGTTCTTAGAGCCGATGATGTTAAAGTGCCATCGGATACGGAGCCTGGTGTGTGCCAGCTGAATAATTTAACTTTTACACTGTTTAATTATAATCACTTAAAAATGTATCAATTAAAAAATCTACAACGAACAAGATTAATTCAATCAAAATGTTATTTAACATCTTTTAAATTAGATTTAAATGATCCATTATAAAACGTAACTGTTTAAGAGCGGATTTTCTCATTCTGTCTTCAAATGATGAATTAATCATTTCATTTTAAAATAGAAATGCAAAGTTCAGTTTAAAAAGGACTAAAGACTTGTAAGCAGTGTCCCGCTTTAGGAGCTCTGATTGGCCGTCGCACAACAGCTGGGTTGGACCTGAACGTCTTTAAAACAAAGTGGAAATGTTAAAGGTTGAGTGACCCTAAGTCCCGCCCCTCTCTGCTCTGTGCTCCAATAAGAGTTGAGAAAGCCTCCGTCAATGTCTCCTTTCCTGTACTTAGATATGCTACTTGCTAAGCTAATCTATGTTTAAATGTTAACCACATTATGAAGATGGTTAAAAGATGAAAGTGACACACATACAGTCACAAAGAGGAAGCTGACGGACGTTACAAGAGGGGCGGAGCTTAGGAAGGCTCGGTTCATTTTGTGATTCCATTTTAAAGCGTGGTTTTTAATTAAAGTAAAATAAAGATTTAGAAGTATCTGTGCTTTTATTTGTGTAATAAACTATTTGAATCAGTTTCTCCACTGTTGACTGTGTGACCACAGTCGGTGTTATTCTGCTGGTACAGTCCAGGCTCCATCGACCAATAAAGAGCACGTAAACCCGTTAATGTGGGAGGAAAGAGATCAGATATGGTGTACAGCTGTGTCTACTTCAGGCTCTAAA